CTACTACTACTACTACTACTACTACTACTACTACTACTACTACTACTACTACTACAACTACTACTACTACTACTATAACTATTCCACCTACACTATCGCGACAGGACGGTAACCGGCGATCGTGGCTAAAAGTTGCAAGGGATCAGGAGCGGGCTTGGTACAAGGATTGCAGGTTGGCGGGGAATAAACATGGTGCGCTAGGTGGTGCTTTTCACCCCACACAGGTTCCTGATGGTATAGTGGTGGGTATAATGGTGTATACTATACATTATACATGGTTATACCTATATAATGTGCATGCGCGCGCGCGTGTGTGGGTATTGTATACGTAACACACTCATACACAGGCGCACATAGACGCTACACACGGTGACTCAGTGTACCGGATAGAATTATTTGAAAAATATGTAAATTACATTTATTAGCATGGCTTTGAATAAAGTGTACACACCGTCGCGGTGGTGGTCGGAGCTTTTTAAAGTCATCGCGTAGCAGTGCGGCGAGGTGAATAGAAAGCGGGTGAGGACGAAGAGGACATCGAGAGCAGTACAAAATTGGCCGGGGTCGTAGATTTTGCAACGCCATCAACTGGCGGCTGTGGTGGTGGTGGTGGTAGCGCGCGCGTAGCCTTTGAACCAATACAATTATATTGTCAACCTAGCTGCCTTCCTCTTCTCACCACCACCCCAGACACCACACACACACACACACACATAAACTAACAACGTCCTCACCTTAACCACCCCTTTTATAATATTATATTGCATTTGGCCTTTGTGTTCTCTATTGTGTCATCACATTACAAAAAAGACTAGTAATATTTTTTTTATTTGGATGTTAATTTTTTTTTTGTATGTATGGATTATGTATTACAAGTAGTACCTAATGTATTTTTGTGATTCATTTAAATTTCAAACTATTATTACGTATAAAATATGATAAGAATATAATTTAGACCAGCGGTCATCAACTGGTGCGTTATGCAAGCTTCAGAAATGGGGTTTAATATCTAATTTAAAATACGAGTATTTAGTACCTAAAAAGCAAATACAATAATAATAATAATAATAATAATAATATTAAATTAAATCTGTATACCAACTCAAAGTAGTATTTATCAGTTAACTTTTTTTTTTTTTTTTTTTTTTTTATTAGAATCATTCTAATAAAGTTGAGGAATACCGATTTAGAAGACCGAAAGATGATAATATTATTATATGTTTGGTACGGAATAATTAATACTATATTAAATGATGTTTTCATATAATGTTTAATAGAAATAGAATCGCTTAGGAATTATAATAGGTTTCGTAATTGTGTCTGTGTATTGCTTCTAATAGTAAATTGTTATGTAAAGGTAAACTGATAGAGTCATAAATTTATTTTAAATGAGAGTTAGCTTAAAGTAGTTTTCGTATGAGATTTTTTATACCATTGGTTTCAAAATATTATAAATATTAGAAAAAAAAAAAAAAATAAATATAAATTATTACAATTAGGAAATTCGTTTTCATACACATAAAATGTTTTCAAGTTAATTTAAATTTTTTTATGATAATTATTAATTTTTGTGTATTTACCTGATTCTCTTGTCCAATAATTGATTGATTTTGGTGATGCTTCGACATAACATTGAAGAGTGATGTCTGTTTTTTGAGGTGCTCCCACTAGTTGATTTGGAACTTGAACCAATGGATGAACTGCATGAAAAAGTATATTTAAGTTTTTTTATTTTACGATTTATAAAATTATACTTAAGCGGAGTGGGTTTATATAATAAATTCTTTGAATTTCTACCTCCCATCACCCTATCAATCTAGAATATTTATATTGCTACATTTCACTCGCTTGCATTCGTCGATCTGTTTTATAAGAATTTCATTTCTGACAAATATGTAAAAGCAAACTTATTTTGTTTTATCGAAAAGTTATTTTAGGCTATCTTAAAAATTTAGTTATAGTCTAGAATGTTAATTTGCTAAATTGAAGCTACAAAATTGTTGATAAATATTGCATTTTGTTTCAAAATAATATTCATTCCCACCCTTTTATTCATTTCTTATTTTTGTTAGGGTTACAGAGAAATTGAAAAGTAACTAATTTTGTCGGCTTTCAGATAAAGTAAGTTTTTAATTAAAAACTGAAAGTTTCCGTGAGACCAGATTACAAAATCGATTTCCATTACTTATGCAAGTGTCCCCTTGGCATCTGTCCGGTGTTAGTGATACTTGGTTAAATATTTGAATATTTTATGAAAACTTTGTTTCTTTTTTGGTTTTACATTAATTATATTGACCTTTATCACGGAGATCTAAAAACTAAATTGGTCTAACTTATGTTAAACTTATTTCATGGTTAGATTTTTTTTTTTTTATATATAAAATATTTTAAATTAGAGGTGATAGTTTACAATTTACATTTATTGTCTTATTGCAAAATTTTCGAGTAATAAGTATCAAAAAATAAATATTGTTCTTATAAAGGATAATTAAATGTATAGTTTAATGTAAAAACATATTTGTATAGGTACTTTAAAAAAAAAAATGTAATCAATAATTATAGAGTTGAAATTATTACTGTAAATAAATTTAGATATTTAAATTGAGTTAAGTATTGAATTATTTAGTCTTCATTGGCTTTAGTAATCTTATAATAATGGTATCATTTTGACATAATTAGTGGGGCTTATTCATTATTTTCTCAAAGAATAAATCGAAGTAAAAAAATAAAACAACAAACATATATATACTCATTTATAGACAATATATTTTAAATATCATTTTAAAGCAAAACGTTTACTTAAATATTTTTTTAGTTATGATTAATTTTTATAAATAAATATGATATATGTATAGTATGTTTAAGTGAGAAAATATTTTTGAGTTAAAATTCGAAAATATTTTTTTCAATGTTTTAGCATTGTAAACTAGCTCACTAATTAATTATAAATAATATAGTTGATATAATTATATAATTATATTATTTACCGATGTACTCAAATAACATTAAATTAGCTAACAAAATTCAATATTTTTGTTATTAGTTACATTTTTATAAATATAAAGTTTTGAAATACATACCTTATTTAAATTTTTTTGTAAAAAGTCTGAATTTTTATGTGTATTATATTAATAATGATGCATAGTTTTTATTTTCATAAGTTAATAATAGTAAATAATTAACTGTTAAAATTAAAATTCAGAATATGAGCGATATGCACTTAAAAAAACATTATCTTTTCATTGGCAAATTAATTATAATTTTGTATGTTAAAGAATAAAAAAATTCTCAAGCTTTATACTTGATTATCTTAATATTTTAAATATTTTTGTGTTTTATTTGGTGTTATTGATGTTTTCGTAAAAAAATTTTAAATTAACATGCGAAGTAAAGTATTTAGGTATGCTGAAAAGGTACCAAGATATTTATGCATAGGGATAGTATGATTAAACAACTTCCAAAGTAATTATAATTCTTGGAAAGGTTACTTGAATATCTACATAGAGAAGTAGCAAATTAAGTCATTAGTGAATAATCTAATTTATTTATAATTTGATAAAAACACGTTAACTAAATGTATTATTTAATTACAAATATAAGATAATTAGTATATTATCAAAGGATAAAATTATTTTGTCAATACAATTGTAATATCTCACTCAAAATAAGTTTAGAATTTTACAAAGAATATTTGGTATCATCTGTGATAACTAATAAAAACAATGATAATGTTAACGAAGATACTATAAGGTTATTAAGTAAAGCCTTAGTTTATTTATATACAATTCGTATTCATATTTTATTTCTTTTAATGCTTTAATAATCCACATAATTTTTATATTTCTATAGTTGCAAACATTTTAAAGGTAATATATTTTAATGAAAACAATGAAACATTTATTACTACATAACACGAATTTATTACATTTTTTTTTTTTTTTATAATTGATAAATCTGTTAATTACATTAGTTTAATAATAATATTTAGAATTTTGTTGTATATTATAGTTGAACATTTTTTTTGATTAGTAATAGATCTAGTTAAACAATTATTTTCACTGTTTTAAATTTTCTGTATCTTAGATATCTATAAAATAAAAATATAATATATAATTACGATGTATCAGGTGGTTTATTTAAAGTAAACATTTATGATATCAAAAATTATGAGCGTTGTTAAAAATATTTTTTTCACATAATTTTAAGTTGTTATTGAATAATATACTTGAGAAAAATTATGTTATTCACAATTGTTATCGTTAAAAGTTTTCAAGTTTTACTTTTTAAAATAATAACATATTATATTTTTTATTTCATATTTGGAAACAGAATATTATTCAGAGTATTTTGATATATATATATATAAATCAAATTTCAGGCAAGTGGTTAATTAGTTATAAGTATTTGAAGTTTTGACAAGTAGAGTCTGTAGTGGACCAACATTTTGCGGGGTAGCCTTGTGCTACTTCACTCTGCTCATCAAAACTTTAAATACTTATAACTCATAAATTATTCGTTCAAAATTAAATTTTAATATATAGATCTACCATATACATTTCAGAGTCGGAACACGATCGAAATATAATATAGGCATGTGATATAAGTTTAATTCTTGAAAGTCAGGATTATAATTGTTAAACATTTTTAGGTACGATAAAATACGGATAAAACTGAATAGATTTAATACTCCATTCCCAATTATAATATGTATCACAGGAAATGTTATTGTAAATTTTATATAAACAATAAACATGTATTTTATGAGTTTATGTACAGTTATGGAAATTATAGATTATCTCTTCTAATTTGTAATTGTTATATGAATGAAATATTTGATGAAATTATTTAAAATAGTATTTGGTAAAACGTAAATAAAATAAATTATTTGTTAAAAATACATAATTTTGATTAATGTATGTTTTTAATGGATACATTGAACGGATGAGTTGAAATGTAATTCAAGAATAAATAAATTATTTTGAAATTAATGATAATACGATTTCGAAAACGTATTTATTATATACAGTTATATCTATCTTCCTCCTACCACGGTGAGTGATAGTAGACAGGAGTGGTTTGTTCGACAACTATTTATTTCCGCATCAGGACAAATTCCATTATAGCGGCCAAAAACGTCAACGGACTCTAATGAACAGCCCTTTTAAACAACACATTCTATACAGCAATACCACTAAACAGATTAACGTTTGTCTCGTCACAACCAAGACAACTAGTATAACCCTTCCCTAATTAATTATTGACCATTCACCTCTTTTCCAACAACGGTGGTGACAAATGTGTCGTATTTTATGTATGCTATTAAAAGTGTCAAGTTACGTTACGTTATTTACTGGTTGTAGAATAAAAAAAGAGATTTATTAGCATATAATATTTTTATTGAGTTAAAATTATACTAGTAAATTAGACTCATAGCAATATATGGTGTTTTAGAAGATACCATTTTAAAATAATTATATGGAAAATAAAAGAATGCATAAAAAATACATTTTAGGAAAAGATAAATTGAAATAATTAACTTAAAATTAATTTATACTTGTAATTTTTTTCTTTAAATATTAATATTAGGAAAAATTAAAGAGTTATATAATAATTATTTAATCAAGTAAATCCATATAATTTTATGTTTTTTAGATATGAAATATAATCTAACTATAGGTTAATATTGTTATTATTGAATATCGATCTGTTATAAAAAGATAATAAAACACACACACTAACTGTGATTAAACGACGAGTGATTACTTTTATTGTTATATAAAAACCAATTTTTAATTTTGTAATAGAGACCTTTATTTAATAATTTATCGAGATCTTCAGAGCATTAGTATTGAATTATGGTATAAATTAATTATGCATTTAATATTAATAACTATTAATTTAAGTATTATTGTTGTCAAAAAAATATTTAAAAATATTATACTTTTTGATAACTAATTGAATAACGTAATAAAAAAAAAACATGTAGGTACCTTTATTTAATATATATTAAATTTTAAACTAAGATTTGTACATAATATTGAACATTTTTGTTTTATAGTATTTCGATAAAGTTTGGTTATTAATGCTTGTTTTTATTTGTGTAACTACGCAATTATTAAAGATATGACTTGCATTATTTAACCAATTTATATTAACTAATTAATTTGGAAATGTGAAGTATTCAATGTATATTCAAATCGAAAAAATTAATATTTAACCCACTATTTCATTCACGTTTGCTTAGCATACAATAGAGATCATCGACAATGCTTTACCGGCTTTATATCCTCTATTCTACCAAAAAAGTGATTTGTGTATAGGGTAATGGTATTCTCTCTCAATTTTTGACGAGTTTTCTATAGTAAAAAAATTGCTCTCGTCGACAGCTGATTCCGTTTTGTACTGTATATCGGCTTTTATACAAATCAATATATATATATATATATATATATAATATATACATATATATTTATTTTAAAAAGAGTGAGAGAAAATGATAGTAGAGATGGACGTTATTAATGCTCTTTTGTACTTGAACCGTTTTCGATACTGGTGATAAATGCCAATCAGACCTAACCCTATCGGGACGAAAAAACTTTAAATCTGTTTCACTGTGCCATTGTTGAACGATCGCCAAGGGATACTAGGTGGAGGAAATTACGTCGATTTTTCTTTTTTCATCTACATACCATAAAAAAATAATTTTTCAGCTTTATCTTTATGTATAATATAATAGAATATCATAATGAATAATTCATATGAATATAAACTTACAATGAACGTGAAGCATTAGTCTTTTGCTAACCGATGGTGGTACACCATTGGCCGCAATGCAAAGGTATGCACCCATTTCTGATCTTGTCACTTTTGATAAAAGTAATGATTCACCTTCAACCGATGTCACTGAGATAAATTAAAAAAAAAAAAATAAATATTGTATGAAATATTTGTGTAAATAATTTCTTTGAATTTCATAAATAATTAACGAAAGTAACTACATTTAAAAAAAAAAAAATAAAAATCTCATTATTTTACACTTATTTTAGGTATATATGCAATATACATATAATATGCCTATAAAGTTGTATGTTTCTATCCATACAGATATTAATATTATGAACCTATTATAAATTTTGTCGATTTAATTTGGTATAAACTTATACATGTTTATAAATGTACAAATAATTATTTTGGTTTTATGAAATAAGCAATTAAGTTTAAAATAACGAAAAAAGTTAAAAATTATGCTATCTGAAAATAGTTGTTTAGTAATTTATGTATTACAATAATTCAGGAGCTTTTAATAAATTCTAATAAAACTAGTATACATAACCTAGCCTAAACTATCTTACACATGACTTATTAATTGGTTCAATTATATTATAACATCTATACAAACTTATGAGTATAATATATAATCCTTTTTTTTTTGTATATTAGATTATAACTATTATAAGATTTGTTTTCAAAATAATAAATAACAACTCATTTTCTAGTACTTTATCTAGAATAAAGTTTTAACATTTATTACAGATTAACAATTTTCTTTATTAACAGTTATTATTTAGTGGTATTTACATTAATTAGATAAAGTACAGATTATATTTTTTTTCTTTATAAATTTAAATTTTATTTCGTGAAACATTATAAATGCTGTGATATTACTCGTCTTACTTTTGGTTTTCTCTGTAGTTCCAGTTCTAACGATTATATCTCCTCCGTCTTCTCTTTTCCATAATATCTTTGGTTCAGGATATCCTCGAGCTTTGCAAATCAATTTAGCTGAACCACCTTCAGGGATCATCATATCTCCGGAAGTGTCTTCATAAACGATGTCTGGTGGTATAACTACTTCTAGAAAAGCACTCTATAAGAAAATATAGAAGGTTAACCAATTAAAAGTATATATTTTATGCTTTAATCAAGTAAAGTTTCAGTAAATATTACTTGGCTTTTCATTGGATCCGTATTGACTTGACACATGTAAGTGCCTCTATCTTCTCTCCGGACAGCCTTAAAATTTAGAGTCCATGTGTTAAAATCATTGTGCGTAACGGACAACCTATCATTGTTCGTGATAACATGTTCGTGAATAGCTAATATAGCTTTAGTATCTGCTTTAATCCAAGCAACCTGAGTACAACCATACATGTGTTAAAAACTTAATAATATGTAATGTGTTATACACAGTAATCATAAGTATACTTTAGTAGTTTTGATGAATATTTGTTAAATTAGTAAATCGGTTTTTTTATTTTCCGACTGCATTAAAAATAATTTAATTTTTCGTTCATACTTATGATTATTATCAATGTATTACAGTTTATAATAAATTATTAAGATAATAATAAATATTATTAATAATATTATTAGTCTACTCTAATAGTATCATTTGTGCTATACAAGTGATTTCTTCTATAAAATATTTAAATATAATAGAAAGTGCAGAAAATATACATGTGCTGGTATGTGCTGTTTTTTTACTGAAATTGAGGTTTAGTATTGGATCAAAAGAGACTGTATACGATGCGATGGAAATCCATTACGTAATGGAATTTGGTAGGGTGAATAGACGTGTATATTCAAATGTATAAACATTCTAGACATACTTCGATTTTTTTAACCTATTTACTGTTCTATTAAAAAACGACTCTTGGAAAAACTATATATGATTGGTTTGTATTAAAGTATAGCTCGCATTGTATTCGGATGAAGAATACAAATTTTGTATTATGTTTATCTAAACTCTTAATTTAAAATGTTTTATGTATATAGTATAAATAGATATTTAACTGAATATTTCATATAAAAATTTATTGAGGTAATACATTGACTATTTATGAAATTCACGGGTTTTTTTTTTTAATAAAAGTAAAAGTATACCTAAGTATTATATTATATTATTATTAATTTAAAATATAAAGTTTATTTTTAAATTTTGTTAGTTATTTTAAACGTTGAAATCAAAATATTTGTTCTTAAAGTTAAAGTTATTTAAATTTATATTCATCATAAGTAAATAATTTTAATAATTTTTTAAACGTAATGTTATCCTAATTAGTTATTATTATCATTATGATTATCTATTATTTGAACATGATTCAATTTTTGTATTCAAATAATATAATTAATACCTAACATTGTAAAAATTACATATCAAACTTAAATAGTTAAATGAAGACATTTTTTCCATTTTACAACACTTTTTACTATAAAGAGAAGGTTTATTTAAGATAATTGGAAAATTAGAGCCAAAGTTTATTGTACTCTTAGGATATTGTGTTTGCTGATTTCTTAAAATTACTTTTTGGTCTCAAGGCATTGTGTCCGCGTTGTGTGACAATGCTTACATTTTGTAGTCATAAATGATCATTTTGTTTACGATGGCGTTTTAAGTAGACAATCGGGTGTCTTGATGAGTAAGGTAACTATTTCTTTATAATTTCTTTATGTTTACTTACTTATCATTTAATAAAAAAAACATCGGAAAAGTACCTGTTTAAATTGAAGTGGACGAGTTGATGTTTTTTTCATTTACACAATTTATTTATTTTTTGTGATCGACTTAAACTTTTTTAAGGCTTGAAGTTTAAGGAATTCGACCTACGCTTATTCTTTTGGTAGGGCGTTGATGAAAAAAGGAAATTGAGAAATGTACTAGGAATGAGGATTTCACTGGACTATAGGTAAAGAAAAGCCACCACCGTTTCCTTGTAATTCTTTGTTATATTTATCTGTTTATGTTATCGAAACATCAATGGCTGTGTTTTCGTGCTCGCTGTCGACCGAATAGAATATTGCCGAACTTTTCCTCCTTTCTCATTTCTTTATTTTTTACTATGATGAGAAAAAGTATAAAACTGGGTCGATCACGTTCGTTTGTAGTAGAAGTTTTGGCAACTTACTACCATATTATAACTCATAGCACGAATGGAAATCGTTTTTCATTTTACCTTATTGACCATGTTAGATGATATTCAATATAAGAGTTAGTAAAAATACATATACATAGATTTAATTTGATATTGAATATGCGTTTATAATTATTTTTAAAGTTATTGAATTAATAATAATAATTTTATAAAAATATGTTTATTAAATAGTTATGTTACAAATAATAGATTTTCAGTTAATGTACCTATATATTTTTTCTATGAAGTATTCTTTCAAAATATATTATAATTGTTTCACAAACTTTCAATCTCGAATATAAGAATGTACATACTTTTTGCACACAGTGACGAATATAATCGTATTTTTTGTTTTCCTATTTTAGCGTTACAGGAAAACATAATGGGCCACATTGTATACTGCAGGTAGTTTTAAAACTGATCTGCTAATAGTAGTTTTAGTTTGGTATAAGTATCTACGAGTGTATTATTTAAGAAGAGGATTCTTTGAAAAATATCAACGATATGAAATTTAATTTTTGCATGAAAATATAAATAAATAATAATTTTTTTCGTACTTAGTGATCGTCAATAATTTTACAATTATTCATAACTTATTTGATTACTTAAATTATTATAATTTTGAACTATCTACAGCGGTTACATTTTAGGTAATATCACTAAAGTACGAAATTTTCTAGATTAACTGTGTATTAATTTGAAATGTTTTTTTTAAAGAGACCTGCGAATGAGAAAATCAATTGAAATTTTGATTAAAGTGTATTGTGTAAAAATATCGTTGGCGTAAGAAAAAAAAAAAGAAAAAAATCTGCGGCCTATTCACACTGCAGTGATAAGTTATACGTGTACATTCCATCGAATTATTTAATAATATATGTCATTCTTGGTGTTAGGTGGGGTGATGAGTCGGGTGTCTGCAGGACTAGTCGGTCCACGATTGCTGACGGAGGTTGACAAAACGATGCACGTAAAACAGTTGTCATCGCTCAGATGGAGCCGAATGCGTGTTCCGGTCAAATAACGATAACAATAATAATATTAACGTACGCTGCAGATCCCATATAGATCCTACCGACTAGAGAATATGTTTCGGTGACCACCACCGGAGTAGTCGCGCGTTGATGAATAATAATGCTCGAGGGCGGGGGACCGAAAGCGGTGGCGATGGTGACACGCGGAAAACATCACTCACCCTTATCTCACACCCTAGCTGGGAAAAAGGGCTCCTTGTTCTCACCCCTTCAATAGTTTGGCGAGCTTTAGAATTATAATGAGACTCGTTGCACCGCACAATACGACCTTTCAACAAACTATACTTATTTTGTATAAGTATTGGGATTTGTCAAACATTTGTTCGCGTATTGCTGTTCCGCTATGGCCGACGCTAATGCGCACTTACGCTTGCAGCACGTTTTACGCCGCACTCTAACCCATCTATACGCACTTGTTATAAGTTCAAAAACTAGCCTATATACCGGGAATTGACCTACTGCTAAGTGCTAACCTATTTACTGATTTACCTGCGCTATGGTTCCGGTCAACGGAAAACTACAGGACGAAAATTTCATCCATGAAAGCCTCATTTCGTTGATGTCTTGTAAAATGTTATTATTTTATTTGATTGGTCTAAACCAGTGGTTCCCAACCTGGGGGGGGCGCCCCCCTTGGGAGGCGTATACACATCGCTGGGGAGGCGCAAGTAATCATCACAAAGTAAAATTTTTATTTATCAAATTTTATTATATTTAAAATTCCACTTTAATACTATATTATTTACAATTATTTATATTTTATAATTATTATCATCAATAAAAAAAGTAGTCTTTCCGAATATTATATAGTTTATTTGTAAAATGTAAAGTCAACAAAAAAATTATAATTTTTTCAATTTATAGGTGGGGGAAGGGCGTGAGATTTTTGAAAATCTACAAAGGGGGCGTAGAATAAATAAGGTTGGGAACCACTGGTCTAAACCATAGTGAGGTGTATGTAATTTATATGTAGTTGTCATTCGCAGTCACTCATGTCAATTTGTTAAAAGTTTTAGGCATACTAATTTTATTATAAGTTTATTACTTCTATTACATACATTTCTATGGAGTTTACCATTTATGTCTCAGTTTTTTTCATTTCTTATATAATTATTAATGATTATAGCTTAGTCTAGTTATCTATACTAAGAATTATTTAAGCCTAGACATATTTACTAATTTAAAATTTAAATTTTAAATATAACTATGAATTACGATACATCTATTTTTATGACTTTCATAAATTTTAAGTTTTAATATAATAATTAAGTATATTGAAACAGTTCAGTTACTTAATTTAATTAAAATTTATAAAACTTCAACATATTATACTATAGTCATATCAATATTATACGTATAGTGTTTCATTTTACCTATAATTGTGAATTCGTGATTTTTGAATTCACCAAAGGAACAAAACCGTAAAACAATAGTAGGTACCTACCATTTTCGTCATAAAACACTTAAAGGATTACGATCCAAATCCAATAGAAACAAATATAATACATACTACAGTACCTTGGTTCTAAATAATATATCTTCTTCATGAGATGATAATTTAAAATATTTTTGTGTATTTCATATTTAGATATGTTTTAATTTACTAGTTAAACTATCACACAGTGTTGTAACAACTGTTAATCAAAAATTAAAAGTTTGAAGAATACACGTGTTAAAAGATTGCAGCTTAGCTTCAGTTTTTATAATAATTATTATTTATTTAGGTACACATACATTAATACTTTGAAATTCATTCAATATACCAATCATATTATTGTTATACATTTTTCAAGTATCACAAGTGTAATATTGTAATTTTTTTTAAGTTATTTTTTATCTTGGTACTATATTAAATAAATAAATAAATAGATATATATATATAAGTTTTTATAAGAAATTTATGAGAAATCTATATACTGCAATGGTTATTATTTAATTAAATTAAATTAAGTTCTATTTATCTTCGCATTTACTTGGAAATATAATGATCTTTATATTGCTTTGTAGTCACTATTATGTACTTAGATTACACTTACAACTTATTGTTTGCACATTGATGACACGTACAAACATAATCTTTAACAATTAAAGTACTTAGTGAATAAAACAAATGATTTAATTTAACATAAATATTTAGTATCAAAATATATATGAAGTTCATTATAAGCACTAAAATATTTATAAAATTATTTGAATATTATTTATTAAA